TCGCTGGTGGGACCTGGGCGGGATTCATTCGGAAGGCGGCCTCCTTTTCCTGCTTCGTCCGCAGCCGTGGCCAATCAAGTTGGACCGGAGGAACGGGGACTGGGCCAAACAACGCCCTGATTGGACAGGGCTCGTGGGGGCGGGACGAAGGCGGAGCCCGCGTCGAAGCGGAAGTTGGCCGTCGCCTCGCTGATTACGTAATGCCGCGGCGGCTGAGGTTGTTCCGCTGGCTGCTGAGTGCGCGGCGAGCGACTCCCAGTGCAACCGTCCCTGCTCCTGCCGCGCCCGCCATCCCGGCCCCGACCCCGGCTGCAGCCCGGCCGCCGCCTGAACATGGACTCTGCTGGCCAAGGTACCCGCGGGCCCGGCGCCACCGCGCTCCTCCCCTCCCCGGGTCGCGTCTCGGACCCTCCGCCCGCCCCGCGGCCCCCGTCGGGCTCCCAGGCGCCGACCACGGTGCTCCCCGTGGTCCTGGCGTGCGTCTTCCGCTCCCAGCTTGGATCGCTTCCCAGCCTCCCCTGGGACCCTCCCCTCGTTCCCGGAGTCTTGCGTTTCGTCGCTCTAGGCAGCTCTCGTTCTGCTCCCGCCCGGCGCTCGCGGGGTCGGCCGCCCTCCGTTCCTGCGCAGCGCCCTTGGAGACACTCCATCTGAACCTGGGCCGAGGTGTTGTGCGCGGCTGCCGGGGAGGGCAGGGGAGGCGAAACCGTCCTCGCGTTCAGCGCTGCGCCCCTTGGGTGGCAACGGTGCTCGGAGCCCAGCCTACTTAGGGGTTGTCTCAGAGGAGAAGGGTGCATTGAGTCAGGGGCACGCCCAGCACACCTGGCTTTTTTCCAGAACAGACACCCAGACCAGTTTGAGATGGCCGCTGGGGATGTGGAGCAAGCCCAGGAGATTAAAATCTTGAGAAGGTGATACAAGTCGGTCTTCCATTCCAAGGCTCTAGAGAGGAGGTGCTGAATTCCTACGCGGATGTAACTCCACTGAATAATTTCAGGATGGGTTTCTACTGTTTGATCTTATCAGTGTGCCGATTAAACTCAGGATTCTTGGGTTCTGATGACATTCTGTAGGTGTTCCTAGTTACTAATATTTGCTTACGAAATAGTTGAACATTAAAAGCTGGGGGCTTTGACACATTCAGGACGCTTTTCACTGAGTTAAGCTTAACACGCATTGGGTTCTGATCAGGAGGATGACAAAACATTGACTGTGCACTTACTGTGGGCCAGACTCCGTACTAAGCCTGTTTCTCAAATGGTCTTTTTCCATTTTCAGAATAACCCTTTGAAATCGGTCCTTAGTCCTTGTGCTGCCCCCATTTTGCAGATGATTATACAGGGTGCACGTGAAGGGGATTAGGCACAGCCGGCTCAGTGGAGCGTCTTTGTTTTCAGGTGTTTTCAAAGTCTATATTTAGCAGACTGCAGTAGACAGACATCCCTGTGGTTAAAGACAGTTTTTCTTCTTTCTAACCTTTGTGCCTTTTAATTGGCTTCTGAGTGCACCAGACACCATACAAAGGTTTTCTTTGCAGAGTTTGCTGATCAAAGAGAAGATGATGTTTTCAATGCTGATTGTAAAAAAGTGCTAAATGACAGCCATGTGTTTGGAGTTGGAAAGAACCGAAATAGACCCATTTTTCCTCGTGTTGTAGCTTGTAAATTTTTCATGCAGACGTGAGATGCATTTAATGAGCAGGAAGAATGGTGACTGCAGGCATTTGAACCCGATCTGGCCGTGGCAGAGGCGTGTGGAGGCGGTGCTCCCTGGGCACCTCCTCGGGAGCTGTGGGTCCTTGCTGTGGGGTGAGGGTCGAGGGTGGGCTGAAGGAGATTTTTGTTTTGCTGACTCCCTGCGGGTCTGGATGCCTCGCACATGCTCCGTGTGTGATTGTGGTGTGCGCCCTGGCAGGTCAGTTGATTGGAAAGTTAAGCTTGCTGTGTTTTCAGCCACATCATGTTCTTTTGTTCTAAAAGTGGCAGATCTACTAGATCGGCTACTTCGTGGCGAAGATTCGCCATCTCCGAAGGTCGTATTCTCACAGGGACCCAGAGCTGGAGTATGGCTGCCTTGCATCAGTGCCCCGAAGCAGCGTTTTGGGTGGCTCACGGTGTAGCTGCTCTTAGTCTAGTGGCCTCACCCATCTTCACAGAACCTTCCAGAGAAGAGGCATTGCCA